TTCCGTGATTCCCATTGCGTAGTTCGTGTCCGGAATTCTGTGTGTAACTTCACTACTACTACTTCTACTGTCACTACAGGCTTGTAGGAGGGCTGCCAGTGATTGGTGGGATTCAGGTTCCGTGGAGCGCAATGAATAATGCCGACTGCTGATGTTATTTCTTTATTTCACTTTCGATCTTAGGCACGCAGGGATATTTGGCAAAGGTACACTGAATGCCTGCCAAAATAGAATTTGACGGTGAGCCAATCTTCATGAAACGGCGAGTAATCTCATATGGTCAACGGCATTGAGGAGATGGAGAGCAATGATGCTAACAATCACTTTCCGTCGAGCCCTTGGGTAACAGCAACTGTGGTAGCAATCCACAGCGACGGTAAAACAATATGGAGTTTTGTTGGCTGTCGGTTACTCCTGATGTAGCTCTCAAATAGACCAACGAGTAACGAGTAGCTAAAATTGGATCTGAGACACCAACAAAGCGAATGATCCGGCAAAATTCTACGGTACTGCAATAATGAACGCTCAAATGAGCAAATAATATATGTACTAACCTCAAAAGTGATCTCAGAACAGTTTCAGAACAAAACATAAGTGCAAGTTTGAGCGTAGTTCAAGGAATGTGAACGAAAGAAATAGGTCTGGACAGGACTAGAACGCTCACTGTTACGCTGCTCTTCAACGAGTCGAAGTTGAGCGATAAGGTGGCAATGAAAACAAATAGGTTTCGAATGAAGGTCAAATAATGGAAATAATGCGTAATTCTGCAATAGAGATCGTAGGGACCAACAAATTTGGTTAGAACAGAAGGAACTCTGGACGCTCGATTGGCCGTGCCCATTCCTGTCCTGTGAAAACTGACTGAATAACTTCAAGAATTCTCGACTTAATTATCTTGGCTCGAGTTAGTTCATTTATTCACTTAGGTGTGTACATAAAATGTACAAAATGTACATAAAATAACCTGAAACATAAACATCATCTATCAGAAAGAAATGCATCAAATTATTATACAAAATTTTCGCACAACGGTTGTTGTTTTACCGTTTCTAGAATTCAGTCCCCGGGCGGGCCGTTCGGTTTGACTCCAGTGTTGCGTGCCCTCGCTTCATTTCACTGCTGGTTGATTTTGTGATCGACTGATTTGCTGAAGGTTTTGGTGAACATGCACGCCAGTGGTTGCCTTAGCAGCAACCTTTCCGATGTGTTTCCATCTTTGCCACTTCAGGATACAATCCCATGTGGTCAATTACTCAACGTTAATACACTTAATGGTGTGGATGTTGCATCCCGTTTGAAATACCTAGGGTTAAATGTTTCTTCACAAAACTCGAATGCTGGTGGAGTCTTCTTCAATGAGGACAGGTCTCGAACGAATCTCATTATCAATTACCTGCCCCAAAGCTACGATCAAAATGATTTACAGCGTCTTTTCGAGAGAGTAGGACCCATTAGACAATGCAAGCTGATCAGGGATAAGGTATGTCTCATTTCGTTTTATTTTATTCGTAAGAATACCGGTGCCAGTTTGTGTTACGGATTTGTGGATTTCGTAAACCCTCAGCACGCTGCTTTGGCTATACAAACTTACCATGGTTATGAAACAGAACAAAAGCGCCTACGTGTTGCATACGCCAGTTCCGGTGGCAGGCGCATTACTCCAGGTACTACTGGTATATATTGTTTACCTCCCTCCAGGTCATCGTGTGGCATCATTTACCGGCAGCTCAGCGAATGGTTTGGGCTCTGAGGTGACCAATGAAAACATCATCGGATGGGAAGTATTCGTGGTCGGAATACCTTTGGAGTGGACAGAACCTGATCTACTTGTAGGTGATGGAATTCTCCTTTATTTCTTGCCTGCAGAGATTGTTTAATAATTTTGGAAATGTCATACTCATAAGGCTGCTGGCTCCCCAGCTTTCAGAATCACCACCCAGTCACAAACCCCGTTTGAGTTNTGAGTTCGCCTGTGATGAACGGCGCGTCGAGCGACTTGAGCGCGGATTCGGCGGACGGTGGTCGTATAACAACCACAGCGTCCATCATCTTTGAGGATAAATCCAGGTATGTCCACTATAAAAATTAATTTCTTCCAGTGCTGAACTGTCTGTGTTTCGTTTGAATGGATACCAAGCGCCCGACTGGTCCTCTCCTCTTCGTCTGCGTATCATTGGCTCTGTAACCCGGGAATCTTACGGATTATTTTGCCTACCATCCCGACAGTCTCCAGCACTTGTCCCCTCCCGCATCCCCAACGGACAACCGGCAGTCGATCCTCTAACTGAATCCGAAGCTCTGACCAACTTGCTGAACCGAAAAGCTCTAGGTGCATCTAATTGTCTTCCTAATGGTAAGTGGTTATTTAGTGTGTGATTTCATTTTCTAGCCCTCACGAAAGCACTTGATGCAAACTGTTTGGCGGCTTCCAGTGACTTGCACTCGAATACTCCGTTTTCGCTTCCTCCCCGTGCCATCATACGCAACAAAGGTGAGATACCTTTGAGCGAAATTACCTGAAATGTTTTTTGTGCCGCATGGTTATTCATCTCAGTTCTTTTTATTGATGTTTTGCGAAGGTATCCTGTCTGCTGCATTATTGATTTGGATAATTGTGTTTCGTCTGCTGTTCCTTTCATTTTACGAAACCACTGCCAATTTGTGCTCCGGTTAGCCTCTAACTTAATGCGCACTTGAACATTTTTTTGGTCTCATATCATGTCGGTTCATTGAGTTGTTTATACGCATTGACGTGAACGACCAAAGGAAGGCATGTTAGTCGGAACCTAATTATGTGATATAAGTTAGCTAACCAGTGATCAGTCGTCACGAGTCTCGACCTGAGTCTGCACTCAAACTTCGGCAAGATGTCCCGGTTTCATTTTTATTCATGGGAGGCTGGCGCACGCAGATTACCCCGGGTTGGACCGCTCCAAAACCAACGCCAATTAGTTTCAGGGCTGAATTTACGAATTTCATGATCGAAGAGTAGATCTATTATCACTGCATGACGGTCAATAATAATTGGTGGGTCGCCACATCACCCGACGAGTTGCCACCGTTACTCGACTATCCGGCGTTTATTTATCACCTCATTTGGTCATTCTCTCGTGATCTTAAAATCTGGCTGTTCAATAAACGAAGAGGCAGTACATTGCATTGTCGTTGATTCATTTACCGTAGGCTAAACAGTTTCTAATAGGGCGATTTGAGGTTTGCAAATGTGAGAGATATGATCACGTTACCACTGTGTAGTTTCTATGGTAGTGGTCTATTTTCCTGCATTTGTCACAATGCAACGTATTTTCTGCCATTCGGCTGCAAATCTTGATTGCATTTTGATAGGCATATAGTGGTGTAAAATTGGGAATGCTCCACTTGGCCCCCGATATTCGGTGTTTCCGTTGCTTCTCAGTATAGTTGACTTGCAAAGACTTCGACTAATAGCTTTGGAATGAAACATTCATTTTCAGGTATCGATGCTAATGCCGGGCTTGTTACCAACGGAGGTAGCTCTCATGCGCACCATCTAGAATTGCTGGAATTGCTAGATGCGCAAGCGCACTCTAACGCTGGGATTCTGTCATCATCAGAGCGCCTCCTTGGTCGCGAACTGCCGAATGTTGTTGCTAATCGCATTTCCGAACAAGAGAACGCCAAGTCCGAAGCGACTCTTAGGTCTCTTCAGCAAAACTCCGCTGCCTGGAACTATCCAACCCATCGGTCCGTTCTGAGCACTCTACCAGAAACCACCCGCGGGACCGATGGCTTATCCCAAACTATTCTCTCTGGAGTACAAAAGCGAATAACAACGAAAACACCACTGCTTCCCAGTCCAGTACTCACCAGCATTGTCTCCCAGCGTGGATGTCAAGCTCACGTTTGGTTGAAGCTAGAAAACGTACAACCGACGGGTTCGTTCAAGATTCGAGGAATGGAAAATGTCTGTCGTAAGGTGAGTGCTGATCGAACTTTACATTTGTATTTTCCGTAATGTTGATCACATTTTCTGAGACGAATTGCTTTTTCTCTTGTCCTTCCGGACACGCGAAGTATATCTCAGCTCGCACGCTTGTTATGCAAGTGGTTTTAAGGGGTTTCATACCCGATCACTAGAACTCCATTGCTGTAATGCGTTTCATAAATGAGCATCGAGATACTTACTCTCATGTTGACTGCGGATTTCTCCGTCTCGAGGGCTACAAACAGATCAATCGTTTGTCCATGCGATGTAGTGCACATTTCCATAGGAGCACTTGTACCTTATCCTCAATGTTGACTGGCTTACGCTGTTAAAGACCAGTTTTTTTGCCAACCCTGTCCTGCGGACGAATAACTGTCGACCGATAATTGGTCATCATACAAAAAAGGTGACATCCTCCTGTGAAAACTACAGAAATTAGTTTAATCAGCATCGTCTCTGAACTTCTCGCGGGCATCATACTACGTCGATTGTCTGCTGCACGTAGAGGGTGCATGCGTGAGAACCAGGCTGGTTTTCGACCTAGTCGAGGTTGTAGAGACCACATCTTGATTCCGCTAAACTCGGGCACTGACACCTTTCTTAGACCCATCATTTGTCTTCCTAGACCAAGAAGTGGCTTTCGTCCCAGCGGACCACTCTAAACTCTGGCACTGCCTTTCTCTGGAAGGTGTCAGAGAAGTTCATTTCAATATTACGATTCTTGTATACCAGTAGCCGAAGTCCTTCCCGGGCTTTTGGCGCTTTCTCACCCGAAAGTGGTGTTCGTCAAGGTTGCCCTCTCCCTTTTTTATGGATATGGATTTGATTATGGAAACAGCCCTATCCTCGTGCGACGATAATGTCAACGATATACTCTCAGATGGTAAGCTAATCTAGAGTACGCAGACGACATTGTGGTACTAAGTGAAGATCCAGGTAAGTCACAAGCTTTTCTGGAAAGTTTAAGTGCTAGTGTAGCCATGTTCGGTATACGTTTTGCACCTTCAAAGTGTAAAATGTTACTACAAGACTTGGTTGGTCCTGTACCGAGCCTCATCCCAACTGAGGAAGTAATAAAGCAAGTAGACAAGTTTTGTTACTTGGGTAACTACGGATGAAGTGCCAGCTCGCTTGTTTAGCATTTGCCAACTTGAGACATCTGTAGCGACATCCGGCTGTCTGTTATGGGTCGAGTGTATGCTGTGACAGTTTAGCCAATTCTGTTCTACGGCGCAGAAACTTGGCCATCAAGGTAACAGGATAAAGATAGACTGTCTGTGTTTAAACACCGCTGTCTACGCAGCATTGCACGAATCTGGTGGGGCAGCCGGGCGAGCAATGCTGAGGTTAGGCACAGAGTTTTAGGTAAATGCGGTCGCCCGCTGGAACATATGGTCGACTTCCATAGATTACGTTGATTGAAAGATGTGTTACGCATGTCACCAAATAAGTTGCCACGGCGAGCGATGTTCGCCGAGGCAGGTGGTGGGTGGAAGAAAGTCAAAGGTGGTCAAGCAAAGACCTGACATGAAGGTATGAAAACCCTGACCCGGAGTCTGAGTCACGTAGGTACCGTCAGGCTTTGGATGATTGTAACCGATGGTTACTGGCACTGAGTGATATGGCTGGGTGTCTTAGACAGTGGCGTTCGTGCATCCTGTAGGTTTCTCTGCAAAATTAGTGCAATGAAGTGCTCAATTTTCTTTTTGCTCCTCTTTCTCATGTTCATCCAAATGGACAACCAAAAGACAGCAACCAATACCGGTGCAAGATAGTGGTGAACGGTTGTACAAACTGAACTGAACTGTTGATTGGCCTCTTCAAGATTGTTGCTAAAAGAAGGTATTATGTAACCAGTCCTCTACGTGATTTCATCATGGGTAAGCTTCCGAGTCAAGGGAGTTCATTTGTGGTCTCACAATCTAAATAGCATGCCCAGTTATGGTGACCTTTGACGTTGTTAGCTCCACTTTTGCCGGTAGCATAGTTCTATCAGTTTCGTCTAGATAAGATAGTGACTAAACCACAATACAATCACCGGCGTGCTTTGGACCTTGTGGTCCGAGGTTCGAGCCCTGCCACCGCCACCCGACTTTGGTGGTAGGCAGCTCTGCTGTCGTCCGGTTCAATACCACGCCTAGCCTATCGGGGCCTTTGTGGTTCGCTACTCCAAGTTCCAGGGCTTAGGTTGCCGATTTCAACCACTGAACAGCAGGTCCTCGTGACGGGTTTACCCCGTTTGCTGTTTGTCATACCTAGGTGTGTAATAAAAAAAAACTGATAAGCGCATTGTGTGACTATCGAAATCAGTGAATTAAATTAAATCGCGATACCGCTTCGACTAATAAGGATGAATCCCCAATTCCATCTAACTTGTACAAGAAGGGGAGGTATTAATGGACTAAGAAAAGTATCAGTGCAGACGCAACGTATACTTAAAACTAGCTTTTCAAAGACATAAATTGAATAGAGGCGCGCGGATGTTCACGCTCCCAGACATATAACAGTGTTTATCTGTTGATTTCATTGAGTCTGACGTCCTCCATTGTCAAGTCGAACGCGATCTATGTGACCAAGTTCATCGACTCGTCAGTCTAGCCTTTATTGACTTTTCAAATATCGCTTACCTGTCAAAAATCACTTTGTGAAGTCAGTCTGGTGACGGGCGCGAAATGCGTTCCAGTCATCACACAAAAGTTGACCACTCGCGCAAACGAACTTGGGGGAAACGGCGTTTCCCGCCGAACTCCGGCAGTTATGCGTAGACAGCGGTGTTCAAACCTTAGTTATCCTTCTGCCACGGTAACCGGCAAAAGAAAGTTTCTGGAACAGGATGTACTGTCACTTCGCTGTTAATTTTTACGCTGTACAGTGATCAAGCAGAAAGTGATACATGTAGTTACTGACCTCGTTTTCGCAAATTTTTACATTTTACTGGACGTTCCCCGGAATCAAACTATACAGACAGTTGAAACCTTGAACCAGTTTGGTTAACGATTATGGCCTGTTGATCCCAAGAGATTGTCGTTTGGCAAAATACCCTTCCGTTTGGGCAGGCGGTGCTCAGTTTCGTCATCCTCACTTGAACCGTGTTTTTTATCGTGTCATGCTAGAAGTGTGAACTGACGCATGGTTATATGGGTTACCCTACAACGAGAACAATCTAACTATTACAACGACAAAAGATGCGGTCATTTTGCAGAACAGCTTTTGCTACTTCGGTGGAGAGCAAAATAACTGCTATTTAGGTGTTCCTTCAAGTTCTTAGTCCCGATTAGTTTTAGTTTCTACAGCCATTAACCATGCACTATCGTGCGCCGGTATTGATCGCTGTCTCTTGACTGTCCATTTAGATGAATATGAGAGAAAGACAAGATTGAAAGTGAAGGCAAAAATAAAATTTAGCACTTCATTGCACTAATGTTGCAGAGAAACCTACAAGATGCACGAACGCCTATGTTAACGACACAGCCATATTACTCAGTGTCTCTAAATTCATTCTATACACCCGGGTATGCCATTAATTTTGATGTTGCTTTCCTTCACGTCCTTTAATTGCTGTATCATATTGCAGTTGTTGTTTTTTCCACTTTTTGTTGACACTATGGTTATGTGGTTGCTGAATATCCACCTCTTGGAGTGCATAATGCCATTCTTTCACTTGACTTAACTTATCGGGTCCCGGCTAGTAGTCAACGGAATTTCACTTCTGGATGGACCATGATTTTTGAACGACCTTGTGTTGATTACATCGCTTTTCTGAGTGGCACCCCTAAGATAGTCTAACGGAATTGTCTGACAATCGCAGATATTAGTCTCATTTCGGCAGCTGATGGCGGTTCAGAGAAAAAGATCAAATAAAAACAACGAGTCACAAGTGCTTGTTGATCTGTGGTCTTGCACTCAAGCTCAAGTAGCAGGGCCAGGCGAGCTCTCTCCCACTCTTCAAGGTGCTGGGTGATGACCTCGTAAGCTCCATGATTACCGTACTGCCCATCTTGGGGCGAATCACTAATCGTTGCCATTTTAAAGAAAGGGTCTCGCAACGGTTGTGAAAACCGCCGCAGATGCAGTTTGATCCCGATCACCAAAGTGCTAGTCTCTGTCATGCTTCGACGTCTGACTCCTCTAATAGAGATCAACCTCCGTGAACAGTATACCGGATTCCGGCCTGGCCAAATGTATGTATTGATCACATTTTTACGCTCCGTCGCGTCCTCAGTCTGCGTCACATACACCTTCAACCAACGATTACAGTGTTCCTTGACCTGAAAGGACCGTTCGACTCGTTTAGCTACGAGGCTCTGATGGGCACTCTTCGACAAGGGATGCCCGAGAAGTACGTTAACGTACCTAGATCATTGTACTCATACCTCTGGTGACGTAACGATTTACAACGAACGAAGTAGGTCGCTCGTCACCAGGAGCGGCGTTTGTCAAAGGTGCCCTCTTTCACTGTTCCTGTTCAATTTCGCCGTAGAACTTACTAAGTGTTATCCAAAACGTAGGTTTTGAATATACAGCTGGAGAAAAGCTACTTACAGTTCGCCGAAGACATCCTCCGTGTTCCAATTCACGCACGATGCGCAAAACGCACTTGATAGACTAACAAGTGCTGTTGCCACATTCGGCATGCGCTTTGCAATTTCAAAGTGCAAAGTGATGCTGCAGGACTGGGTTTCGCCTACTCCCTCTCTGGAACTAATTACGGAATTATCTTTGCTTGACCAATGTTGGGAGCGCAGCCAAGGATATAGCCACTCGCGGTTCAAGGTTCCAGCAGTATACATGACGTCTCACTATAGATGGAGGTCGTGTATATTGTGCTAGCGTTCACTCAGTCCTGCTTTATGGTTGTCAGACCTTGAATTGGCTAGTAGAAGATATCCGTCGTCTAGAGATAACGTGGTTTAGCTTACGTGGGGGAGAGCGAACGGAGTAGCAATCTGAAGGTAAGCCATCGGGTGTTTGTTATCTATCAGGTATAAAGCTGCTAGCACATCGAATTCAGATGAGTACACTTCGCTGGCTAGGTTATGCATTGCGCATGGCCAGCTACTGTCTACCGCACTTGATTCGTTGTAACCTCCGGACCAGAAGAACCAGGTGGAGGTCAACAGGTGACCTGCCGGCGAAGCATGAAGAAATGCACGGAGCCGTTAGGCAGGGTTGGTGTCACGCCTTCCAGGTGTGGGTCCGAAAAACTACACAACCGGTTGGTTGGAGATATTGAACAACATGGCAACGAACCGACCTGGGTGATGATCTTGTCATTTCTTATCAGACCAGAATGCTTGAAACGGTATGTGTGCAGGGCTCGATTATACCCGCGGTTGTTGACCACAGTGGTTCATCTCCCTCAAAGTAGTTCCAATCCGTACCAGCCTTGAATTTTACCACTGCGAGTTTGTAGTGATCAGTGAAGTTCGCTTCAGTGTATTCCGCTGTATGATGGTGATGTATCTGTGAAACCATTAGGTTGTTACGACCATATCTTCACTCTTCACTGAATTCTGGAGCACCGACCGCCTCGCTTCTTCGGTCTGGAAGCGGCTTTCGATTCAGTCTACCGTTCTGAACTCGGGCGCTGTCTTTTTTCTGAAAGATTTGCCCGAGAAGTTGATTCCAATGTTAAGACCCCTCGTACGTTGTGTTTCTGAGTAAAGATCGTGGTAAGCTGCAAGCTATCCCAAGTTGAGGCATCTAGGGCGCCGTCCGACATCCATTTCTCGGTGAAGGATCAAGTGCATGCTGCGGCACTTCGTCTCGTTGCTTTACAAAGCGAAATTGCATCTCAATTTCCTCAACCTCAGTATGCTGAAACTATCAAATTTCTCTTCGATTCTACTCTCAATTTTCTTATCTTTCTCCTACTGCTTCATCCAAATAGGCAATGAAAACCGGCTCCCGAAAGTGCGTGGTTAACGATTGGACAAACTAATGATGAACCCCCATAACATCCATCTCTCTCTGAGAGCGGTTCGAACCATTCAGTTTTACAGGCGTAATATTTACATCGGAGACGTTAATCGATTGTTTCTGTAATGTGAACAACCCATAAGCAGTGACAATATTCTTTGTCTCATGTTAGAAAATGATTATCGTTTGCCAGCGCGTTTCGATCTACACCTCCAATACCTCGGACATGCCGGATAAAAAAATTACCAATAATAATATTGGGAATTTAGAGTTCATGTTTATGTGAGGAAGTTAGTTGTTATTTCCTGATAACCAAGATGAAAGAACACCGATGCAAGTGCAGTTATGGCGGTTATGCTATCAGACACTTCATAAGATAAAAGAAATTTGTGTTGTTGTTTGCATGTCCAATTATGAAAACGAGAAGGGCTCAGATCCTCGTGCTGGTGGGTTTATCTCGAATGAATCCCGGGATCTTCCTTAACCCTGTGGTGCGGGCCTGAAAATTGGCATTCATTGGTGATCATGGGGAATGTTAATGTTAATGTTAATGCTTCTGTACCTCAAGCAGTAATCACAAAATTGAATCTTTGAAGTCGCACTTAATTGTCACCAAATAGCTTGTGCAAACTGACTCGTTTGCGTGAAATTCTTCATTGGAAACTTTTGAAGCATTGGTGCTTTGCTAGTACTAACTGCCTGTAATCGACATGAATTTTTCTCCTCACAGTGGGCATCTTGTGGTGTCACTCATGTTGTGTGTCCAAGCGGTGGGAATGCGGCGATCGCTGCAGCATGTTCTGCGCGTGCATACGGTATCTCATGCACCATTGTCATGCCCGAATCCCCCGATTCCGGCATACGCAGACGCTTGCTGCTAGAAACTCCTGATGCTAAGGTGATCGTCCATGGATCTGACTGGCTGGAGGCTCACCAGCGTGCGGAGCAAATGGTCAATGAGCTACAAGTGAATCACCCGGGAGAATCGATCAGGCTGTTGCATCCATATGACCAGTCGGAGCTGTGGGAAGGCTATGAAGGCATCATTGACGAATTGGGACCGGATTTGGGACAGCCAGACGTTATTGTCGTTTCCGTTGGGGGCGGTGGCCTATTGGCTGGTATAATTCAGGTATGTCGTCAACACTCGGTAACAATTCGTAAATGTGGTTCACTTTGAATAATCTGACCAATGTAATACGTTTTCCTTATTGGTTTTCAGGGGCTATGGAACCGAGGTTGGTCCTCCACTCACGTGGTGGCTGTCGAAACAGAGGGCGCTGATTGCCTGAATAGATCAATGAAGGCGGGCCAGTTGTTGCTTTTACCACGTCCGACCAGTATCGCAACATCGTTGTCAGCACCCATCCTTGCCCATCGAACATGGAACTTGGCTCAATTGCAGTCGTTGACACCGGTGACCTGCACAGATTCAGACGCTATAGACGCTGTTAGGCAATTTTTGGGTGAGTGTAGGGAACCATTTGTCTTATAAGTGTTTATTTATTTTTTGCTGAATGGAATCAGTTTTCTTGGTGTCTAAAACTAGTGTTATAACTGTTATAACTTTTTCCCAATTATCGCTTGTAGATGACCATGGAATGTTGGTTGAGCCGGCCTGTGGTGCATCGCTCTCTGCGTTGTATTCTGGTATGATTGGTCGTTTGCAAATGGAGGGACGAATACCACGTCCGGCTAATGTTGTGGTTGTCATTGGAGGTGGCAGAAATGTATCACTAAGACAACTCTCTGAGTGGGAGAACCAAACAAACGGCTTCGGGTCAATTCAGCAAGTACCGACATTTTTACCCTCGATGACCAGCCCGTATTTGGTGAATACGTCTCCCCATTCTGTTTCGTCTGAAATGTCATCAAAATCCAATATGTTCACTTCACATATGCCAACGGATCCCGATGAAACTCTCAAATGTGGCACATCAACACCGAGCACCCCACGTCCTGTGTGCACCATTTTGAGTAGACCATCTATAACTGCAGAAGGCGTCGATTCACATGCACCGTCCGTCGACGGCGATCGTGAAACCAGCACAGAAGGACCTGGGACCCTGAATCCACATGATCTGGTCAATTTCTCCAAGTTGCTTGCCACCTCTGAAACCGAGGGTGACGATGGGACGTTACATGAATAATCCCGGACCATCACAGTTCGTCATGTCCCTCTGCGTTTCTTATTTTTCATTTCTTTATTTTGATTACAAGGTGAATTTGCATGGTTTTGCTGTTTTCTTCTAGTTCATAGGCTATCTTCACAATCTTCATCTCTACATACTGATTTCGAGCCTCTTCATTCTCTACCCAATGAAGGTTCTTGCACTTGAAGTAATCATCGTTTCCGGTACTTCGTTCATTAGAGTTCGAATTTCTTATCTTGGCGCGTGGAAGATGCCGGTGATCTTCCGAAGAAACTTGACTTGTTTGTTTTCGTTTCTCTACTTTTCTATTTTCCATACATCTTCTGTTAGTTTTTGCTTTGGTTTTTTTCACTTCTGCTGGTTCCCAGTCACAGGAGGGCGTACGACAGTAGTCTGGTCATCAGATCCGTTGAAACTTTCAGGACCGTTTCCATCTCTGCATTCCACAGCTCTTCACTGACGTCATACATAAATTTTCATGCTTGGAGTGCCTTACTTCCTATGTGTTTCCATCAATTCGTTATTCTCTCTGTCTGGTCACTTTCTAGTGTTTGCATTTATTGGTTTATCTCGTGACTTCCGAAATTTTGCTCATTTTATTCCGTTAAGTTTATCAGCAGTTTCTCAGCTCCATGACACCGATAACCACAGTGCTTGCATATCATTGCTAACAACCAAAAGCACTGAGATAGTACCATCGCCCTGTGCTTGATGTGCATTTTGATCTTCCATCTGTTAATCGAGTGTCGGGATGCTGTTGTACTGTTCCGTGTGTTCACTGCCTTTTGGCATCCGTTCATTCATACATTTTTCACATTATTTGCAGCGTTCTTGGTGGCTTATCTGGGCCTCTAATGACGTCATCATTCCATGGAGCTTCCTTACATGATACCTTTGTGTTGCGAACTCTTTGATGCTCTCATTTCACTTGTTTTTCTCACCTGGGGCCTGTGTCTGTCACCTTGAGGTCACATTCCTCAATGTACTTCTCGGCTCAGTTCTCCCCCACGGAGTCTAACAGCGCATTTTGTTTATTTAACATGTGCATAGTTCGTCTCTGCACATGCTCCGATTATGCCGCGTCTGTGCCTTCTCTTTTTGTAGTCTGTCGTTTGTACCGTTTTGATTTCTAAACTGGTATTACTTTTCTAATTTAGCAAAAATCAGATTTTAAATTTATCTTCAGGCCACCCACCAGTGCACTGTTCATTGGCATCATTTACATTGATGAGTCCGTTCTTTGCTTGTTCGTTTCTTCGTAGCACATCTGGTTTTATTGCCATTTACTTGAAATGCGCATTACCTCTGCTTTGCATTGTTTTTATTTTTATTATACACGTGTGTTGATGATGTAAAGGACGTGACTTTTTGAATCCATTGCGGGGCGCGCTAGAGCATTTTACTGTCCGGGCCGAATTGCATTCGAGCTAATATGGTAGTCCATTCGGTACACGGTTGTTTTCGTCAGTGGGCTTCATGGTGGAACTTGTGGTTGTCTAGTGAGGAGAAATGAGCTGCCCGCGGGTATGCCGAGAAGTCCTTTTTTACAGTATGCGGAACTATTTGGAAGTGCTTTTAATGCAGTAGTGCATTAGCTAATGCAACTAGGAAAATATGTCTGGGGCTCCATTGAGCACTATTAATGGGATGTTTACATGCACTATTGTCATTCTGTTCGGCGCCAATTGAAATCTTCTGAATGAGGCGATAGGACAAATTTCCTCGATAATCCCAAAGCCGAGTGTAGGAGTATGGTAACGCGAAGCGGTCTCTGGAACGCTTACCGTCCCGTTGATTTGTCGGTCGTGTCTTGATATCGCCTTGGTTGATATCAATGCGTCCCCACTGTTCGGTTACATAAGTCTGCATTTTATTATGTTGACTGGCTGCCTAGGTATCCGTACCGAAGGTGTTGACTCATGATTTTCACCATACACACCAGTCATTGTGTTCTGCACGTGTGATGTCATACTCTTCGATTACAATCCCTATGTACGCTCGACAGCAAAAAGGTTATGCTGTCAGTTATTGCGGCTGCGTTAAATTCGCTGCCTAATGCTCTTGAGGGAGATAAGTTTTCACGAAAAGCAAACAGGAATATGAGCAGTTCGCGGTTGCATCGACTATCAATAAGCGGACTTCATTAGTCGCTGCCAAGCTGAGTGCGAATGCGTCGGGAGGCCGGGGGTCGGACTTACTTTTAGGGGCGGGGAAACAACGCGAACCGCCTTGTGTAGCATACATCTCCGTGCCACGATCCCAACGTTATTTAACCTTAGTAAAAGCTGACAGTGGATCCCGAATGGGTACACTGCTTCACGAAAAAATGCCGCAGAAATGTGTCAAACCTGTTGCGCTCAGTGTTTACTGAGGGTCTACGACGGGCTCAGCAAATCTTTCGCAACCATGTGCGGCATTCATCGAGAGTGCCTTATTTCGCCATTCTTGTTCATTTTCGTCCTGGACGAAATCCTGGAGAACGCGTTATGTGGTCTCCACATTGTCGAAATTGAACGAAAAACTGGAGAGAAGCGGTGAAATTTGGACTACGCTGACAACATCTCTTTTCGAAAGTATTTTCGATGCACGAAGAGCTCTACGAACTTTCAAGTTCTGTTACCTGGTTTGGTGTTTGCAAATCGATGTTACAAACTCAAGTGTCGTCTACTTCGCGCTGATGCTTAATGGTCCCGTAGTGGATTGTTCCTTTTACTTCGGTAGTTGTGTGACAAATGACGGCAACGTAGTCGGGAATGTGCTCGCCCGCATTTCAAAAGCACGAGAAACATGTGCAAGGCAAACGCCTTTGGTGGCGATCTGATTTCCGTTAAGACTGAAAGATCGCATATACTGCGCCAGTGTGTCGTTAGTTCTGCATTTCCGCTACAAGACTTAATCTGCACTAGGAAGATACTCATTGTCTCAAAAGTCCTCGATTTTAAGTGTTCAGATATTTTGGTACGGGTTTGGTGAAATGATCGTGTATGCAATGTTGAAGTAAGCCGTCGCGTATTTGGCGATAATTCGGTATCACAAGCAGGTTACGCATTGCGCTTACCCAGCTCTTGTTTGTCGTGCAGCTCTTTACTCCACTTGCGGCTACAGGTTGGCAGGAAACAAATGGAGGCCAACAAGTGATGTGAAATTGATGCACAGAGCGGTAGGGTCGTGTAGATGTCTCCCGTCTTACAGGTTGGGACCTAAAAGACCTTGGAACTGGTCGGTTGACGACACTAAAGGATATGGCTAATAACCGACGGTAGCGGCGTTCTGGTCATCTTTAGTCGGGTCACGATTTTTAAATTGCACGAAAGAGAGTGCAGTAAAAGGCCTAAACCAAGGATATACCGTACGCGGGAGTGTAAAATAGGACATTCAAGCTAGAATCACCTTGTTGATTCTGCGTCTACAGACAAGGATGTACGTTGGAGGGAGGGTCCAAAGGTGGGGGCGTCCATAGTTGGGATGTGCTTGGGAAAGTGATTGAAAGTTGAGATTGTGACACCTGAGTTATCTAGCCGCTTGTGTACCGGATCTATTTAGAAAAACAAGCAGGGGACGGATAGAAACGGCATGTTTACTAGAATAAAATCCAAAGTAAGAATAAGGATCATGAAGCGTCTGCCGGACGGTGACCTAGTGGCTACAAGTTAAATGCTGGGGACGGATCGTTGAGACGAATAGTCGATCAAGAGTGAGACAGACGGACGGAGCTCTACTTCACACAGGACTGGTATTCAAGTATAGGGCGAATCTGAGGTTTGTAAGGCGTGAGGAGGTGAAGTAACGTCTGACACGGAAGAGAGCCGATTTTCCTCGCAGTGCGGGATACAAGTAAATTGATATATGGTGACCATGAAAGAAAAGATACGGGTAATCCCAACTTGGTCACGAATCTCTGGAATGTAGAATGCACGAGTTGGTGAGGAGGATAAGGATGCGTGCCTAAGAGAAATGGAAGGGAAGTTATACTGGTATTGAAGAGAACACGGTTCCGACAACCCCAAGCGGAAACAAGGCCCAGATAAGAGATGAGCGATCGTCCTTAATGCTAAAGTTAGCGATGCGTGGAGAGGAATGGGACAAAGACGAGTGTAGGGTAGCGCCATCGCCAAGGCATTAGTAGGATTTAAAGTTGACAAGTTCGTCAGAAAAAGAGAAAGGGGAATAACAGAACCATGGTAACTCCAGCAATCACGGGCACCGAACCAGACATGGTCCTGTCTACTCGAGCTGAGATGCTTCGGCCCTTGAGATGGCTTACTGTTCGGAAACAAGTTCTGAAGGAAAGCCAAACTTGGGTAGTTTAGCCAGCCAACCTGCGAGGCAAACGCGATCGAATGCTTTCCATATATCCAATGACACCATATGGGTCTGTCCGTGGTTGTCGAGTGCCGCTGACCAGAAGATAAGATCGGAAACTGTACTGACGGTGGCTAAGCATCTTGCTCTGCTCCAGGTGGCGAGAGAAACGGGGTGGCAGTTGTTTGGATNGGGAAGAATTTCTGATATTGTCCATGAGGTTGGGAATATCTCAGAATCGATGGATGTCTAAAAAGATTTGATTCGAAAATCATGTAACGTTTTTCTTTTTCATAAAAGTTATTGTACCATGATCTGTTTGGCACACAGTCTGGATTAAGACGTATGTGAACATGTAATATGCCTAAAAAGGTATATATGTATGTACATGTAGGTTGTGCCCTCTGGTCATCGTAGAGGTTCATTTTCTCTGCCTCCCGTGTTGTACTTTCTCACGTGTGAGCTGGGCAGCGCAGAGGAGGGGTTATGGAAGCACGAAGGTGTCTACAATGTAGGATGGTTTATGGTTATTGATCTGCCACTTCAGCATACCTGGTAGGGTCTATCAGGCGATATCCATGATATCTGTCCCGGCCACCTTAATCTAAAACTATCAGTCACTTGGTCCAGCTGCGTGAAATCAATGATCCAATACTGTAC